AAGACGTCGTATAAATTTTGTCCAAGAGCAAAAAAGTCTTAGAAGTGACTATTACACAAGCCCTGAAAGTTTCAAACGATTTGGTGAATGTTGTGTATTTCGTGTCACAAGTACCATGGAAGTAGCCAAAATAAAATATCTAACTGCTTTTTAAAATTTTTTCCAACAAACAATATGTGAATAATTTTTATTTATATTTGATAAAAACAAAAAAGATGAAGATTTATCTTTGTTATTTATCTTGAGAAAATTTCAGCTAAAAGAAATTAAGTATTTTCAATAAGAAAAATGTTTGAAATAAAATCAAATATTTTTTTCATTTAATATTTCGCATTGTTGTAAAATAATGTACGAATATTTAATACAAATGCGATTTTTTTCCGTCAAAAAATGACATAAAAAAGATCAATTAATTATAAAAGCCATACTCGTGATTGTGAGAAAAATAAGTAATTAATTCAATAACTTACGACTAATCTTAACACAAGAATAAATATAATACAAAAAATTAATTCCTTAGATAGAACTATTATCTCATTTCAGAATAAGCAAATCAATAAAATCATTATTCACTTCAGATTTTTTACTTCTCTTTTACCACTATATAGTTAACACTAGGGAAATTAATCTACATTGGGAAATAAAATATGAATTAAACTTAAATCATTTTGAAATGCCACGTAAGAGAAATAACACGAAATTTACTAGAAAATATCAAGAACAAACAGGTCCATTATCATCAAATAATGATGATGATAATAATAATAATCGTGCTAATGTTAACCCATTATCATTACCACCAACAAGATTCGGATACGAATTGTTGCTAGATCAGTACAAAATGATTATAGATGAAAATAAACGTTTAAAAAACCAAATCGAATATCTTGAAAAACAGTTGATGGGCAAGTAGATCATTGAAAGATTTATTTTGTATTTTTTAATATGATTTTGAAATAGGGAAAAAGACGATACTGGAAATTTTCTACTTCGTAAACCTCGAGTTGTATATAATCAATTAAATGGTATGTTGGGAAAAAGTTAAATAGATTTTTTTTAAATTTTCAAACAAAAATTGGTTTTCATTAGATAAAGTACAAAATAATCGATTTTAATAAACTAAAGTTAACATATAAGAGATCTTATTATATTTTTATAATATAGTTGATTTTCATTCATTAAACCTATTAAAATTAACAGATTGTAATCAAGTTCTTAAGTTATAATTGATATTTATAGATTTTTTGAATAAGAATGGATTTCAGTCGATTATTGAATGCAATATCGATTTTAACTGATGGTTTTTGATTAAAAATTTGATAAAAATCAGATAAAACATTGCATACACATTGATTATTTATCACAGAAAATATATTAAAATGCATTTTGGATTGTTGATTGTAATTGATCGAAATATTTTCTTGTTGCGATTTTTGATAATTTTTCTTCACATATTCTTTTAATGGTTTTCAATGTTTTTTAGAAGGAAATGAAGCAGAAGAAGGAAATGGAGAAGAAGGAGATGGAGAAGAAGCAAATGAAAATGATGGAAAACAACAGCAACAAGAAGATAAAGATAAAGATGAAGAAAAGAAAAAAAACGAATTGAAAAAAAAGATTAAGAAAATAGCAAATGTGTTAGGTTTATCGTATAATGAATTAAAAGGTTGTAAAAAGAAGCGGATCACAATAACATGCCGCAAGGTTATCAAACAGATATATCAATCACGTGATGAACGGACGATGGAACGTATTAAGACCATGTGTCCAAATAAAGTTCGGGCAATTCGTTGTAAGTATACTCTCTTGCTCGTAGAGAAGAGTTTTACAAGAATAGATTGTTTGCTTGATTGCATGCGGTCCGCATTTTATTGAATGGCAGAAGAATAAGTCAAAGTTAAAGATAACTTTTCTTTAGAATTTCTCTGAGAATTGATTTTTCAAGGATTGCATCAGGTTTTTGAAAAATCAAAGATTTTTGTTAAGGATTCACCGAAAAATAATTGAGATCGAAGAACGTGAATTTGAGATCAGATTTTTAAAATCAAATAAATCAAAACATTAGTAGAACTCTGTAGATCACGATTTCTATTAGAAAGAGCTGGGCGAATCCTACGATTAATGCTACTCGTTCCAGTTTATAAGATCTAGTTTATTACGACCGTTTTTGTTTTGTTTGCAAGGACTTCTCAAACAGTATTTTAGAAACTCATATTGACATTCGATGACGAAAAATACAAGATTTACTATAGAGTATTGAACAACATCCAAGGATTGACTAGATAATATGGAGAAGATTTAAAGAAATAATACTTAAAGACATACCGGAGAAATTTCGTATAAATTCATCTTGAATTTATCTTGTATGTGCCACCCAAAATGATCATCTTTCATCAATATACATGTATATAATCTTCTACCACATCTGTATAACGACTGTGGACACACCAGCAATCAAACAGACAATTTATATTTCCATGATGCTTCTCTACGAGAAATAGAATAATATTCGTTTTTTTTTGATATAACAAAATAACCTTAAAATGATTTTGTGAAACACGATCTGAAAGGAGTGTTGAAGTGTTTAGGGGTAGAAATTTGGACCCACCCCGCCCCGCCCCCCCCCCCCAGACCCGGCCCGGAAAAAGCCCT